GTCATTTAATGATACTAGTGCAAGGCTTTCAGCTTCAGAATAATTGTTATCACATATTTCTGTAAGGACAAGCACACCCAGAACTTGAAGATCTCCAAACAACGTAGTGTTTATCATTAGGAAAATGTATGATACATTAGATCAGTCTCAACACAGATTAGAGTAAATGTCTCATTACGAAGTGGGAGAGATTTTTGTGATGTGAAGCAAACTAATATAATGGATTGCAGATTAACTGGGTTCAATAGAAGTAATCCCAGAATGTCTCTGAGTTTACAGTGTTTCACAATATCTGCACTGAATATAACGTGTAGAATTGTTTAAACACCGTGTTAGATCAAGGAAGATGTGAAAACTGTTCACAAAAGAAAAGAAACTTCAAGTACATAATTTTATTGCTAAACGAACTTTCCCTGTCTATGGCACTTTGGCAGACCCTGTTGACTCATCTAAAGCAATACCAAAACGAATATTGTTAGTTACCCCGAGTACTGTATCCAGCTCTGGAGCCCTCAGCACAAGAAGGACATGGAAGTGTTGGAGCAGGTCCAGAGGAGGGCTACAAAAATGATCCAAAGGCTGGAGCACCTCTCCTATGAGGACAGGCTGAGAGAGTTGGGCTTGTTCAGCCTGGAGAAGAGAAGGCTGCGGGGAGACCTGATTGCGGCCTTTCAGTACCTAAAGGGGACCTATAGGAAAGATAGGGAAAATCTTTTTAGTAGGGACAGCTGTGACAGGACAAGAGGTAATGGTTTTAAACTGAAGCAGGGTAGGCTTAGACTGGATATAAGGAAGAAATTCTTTCCAATGAGGATAGTGAAACACTGGAATGGGTTGCCCAGAGAGGTAGTGGAGGCCCCATCCCTGGAAACATTCAAGACCAGGTTGGACAGGGCTCTGAGCAACCTGAGCTAGTTAGCAGTGTCCCTGCTCATTGCAGGTGGGTTGGACTAGATGGCCTCTAGGGGTCTCTTCCAACCCAAAACATGCTATGATTCTATGATTTTATACGTTTATAGAAGACATATTGATAAAATTTGAAGGATACATAAGGCTCATCATTGCTGTAATATGTGCATTTACTATGATAAGGATAAAACCTGAATGGCATCAAGCAGAAATATGGCCAGGCTACAAGAAGAATGATTTTCTAAGCTGATGTCTTCCCACTCCCCGATTTCAGAGATAACATTCTGCCTAATATTTTACTTAACAGGCACACCCGTCTGCTGTGTGACTTTTTCTTGTCTTTGGATTAAACAAAAAATGATTGCAATTCTGCTGGTGTCTATGTCAGTGGTGTTGTACAGTGGTAAGTGGCAATGTATTTTTATGATTTTTTTACAATTATGCCTAAGTATTATTATAATATGTGCATTTGGAAACAATCCTTTAGAAGTACACCTTCTGTCTCCTCAAACCTAGTTGTTCAACACCCAAATGCGCTTAAATAAATTTACCTATGGAGTACTTATATAACATATATTTCCTCAGGTCTTGTAGTGAAGCAAGAAATATTTAGTAGGCTTGACAATATAACCAAAAAAATTGCAACTCCCTTCTGCTAGCGTTTGGTCATTATTTAAGTCATCTAGACTCCAAAAAAGTTACAACTTGTATATAGAGATTCTACTCATTAAATATAGGTATATTGTCTAAATAAACCATTCAGTGCATTCTGAAATGTAACTCATGTTCAGCTAAAGCTCCTCCTTCAAATTTTACTATGAATGGGTTTTTTTCTTCTTCATATAACTCTCTAGATTTTATTGTCATGGGTGAATGAGATTCTCAGTGAGAGGGATGGGCAAACATTTCCAATTTCTGCAGTCCCTGCACTGTGTAGGAATGCCATTAAGAGCAGCGGCTTGCAGGTGAAGAGAAGGACTCTTAGAAGGTCTAACACCATTTCTGGTCCTTCAGTGAGGTTATTTCTAAAGGGAAAAGAAAGCTCAGCACCTTGGCATAGACAAAACTCTGCACTGACCTACTTCGACTTCAACAGTTGTCTTTCTTCTAAGGGGCTGCATGCATTAGAAGTCAGTAAAGAAACAGGTCTAACGCAAAAAGCATGGGCTAAAATAAATTGATGAAGCTGAACCTTAAGACTCCTACTATATGAATAAAAATCAGTAAGAATATTAGCATTTCCCACTGCAGTGATAGAGAAGGCCAAGATACCTACACTGTTTATTCATAAAAAAATAAAGCAGTATTTAGTCCCCAGAGGTAAAGGGGTCTATGTATATTGATAATATCTAGTGCACTCAGAAATACCTGGACACTTGGTAATTTTTCTGACGTAGTGTTTGAAAGAGATTTCCCCCCACACCTCAAAAGTCTGTGCCATAGTTTTTAGATTCTTTTCCCCCAGCTAAGCACAATCTGAGCACAAAGATTTCAAATGTTACCATTTTTAGGATTGGAGAGGATTAAAGACTTATATTTATGTGGGATCTATTCTGCTGATCTCTGCTTTGGGATTTAAGCAAATATCTGTGCATGAACTAGCATCTTTGTGAGGAGCTAATTTCATTTACCTTGAATAAATCAAATAGGTTGGGTTTGCTGCACCCTGACTTTTCCTGGTGCAATCAAGGTTTCTACTCCCTGAGGATTATGACTGCATCTATGCCCTGTATTACGACGTTTTAATTAGTCACGATTGAAAAAAAACCTGAAGGTGCACTGATGGTTTTTTGATGGGCTTTTTTTAGATTACACTTCAGAAAAGCATAGTCAGAGTAGCAACATCAGAGACACAGTCCAGAAACATTTTTACATGTATCTGAATGTTGAAAGAAATTTTGTGGATAAGGTATACAACTGGAAAGCCCAAGAGCTGCTGCATCATAGCAGTATCCTCAGGACACATGCCAAGTCATTTAGCAGGTTTTAGAGAAAAGTGAGAGAAGCTGACCTCGCCGGGGTCTTCTGAGATTTAAAGGATTGATTTTTGTAGTGCAATCTTTCACTGGCTATACAGGGAACAATGTAGGATCAATAGCCTTAGATATCATGAAAGCAAAAGAAGAAAAGAGAATAATTCATCCAGAAAGTATTTGCTCTTTGTCCCTGCCCCCACAATTTAAACAAAATTAAGCAATCTTGTTAGCAAACATTCGTTCATTGATCTTGACTTGGTGACAATTAGGGATACCGTTCTTTGTAATGAAAAGATTAGAAGAGCCAAAGGTTTATCAAGCTGCTGACCTTGTGGTAGAGATTTTTCTCTAGGGGAGTTTCAAACATTTACATGTTAATTAGGTGTGTGCAAATTTGGTTTGCTAAGAAGAAGTACAAATGAAGGATGCTGGAGTAATCACAACTTCCAGCAGTTCTGTAGCGTGGCTTTATCAATTCCCTCCTCTGTCTCATTTCAACTCAAAGTCATATTCGTGTTTTCCAAAATTTTGCTGAAAGGACTAAATGATCAATGGCTATTCATCAACTGAGTTGAGCCTTGGTGTTATGCAGTGTGTCAAAACTTGGCTCTAGATGCACTTGATAGAAGATGGCTTGCAGGAAGGATATTTGTCATTGCAGAGGAAATACAGGCTTTAAGCCAGAAAATAAGGGGCAGTTTTTCTTCAGCAAGCATGTGTACAAATATATAGCATTCAATGTTATTTATTTTGCAAAGCACACCATTGTTTTGCTTGAATCTGAATTCCTTGTGGCCATCAAGCTTTCAACAAACTTGCTCTAGTACTGTGAAAAGGCCAGCTTTTATTGGAAGACCTTTTCTGGTTTGTGGAAAGCAGTCCATTCCCCTTGGTCCTGCTGCAATGAAGGACACTTCTGATGGATTGCTGTTCATCTAAAAGTTTTCATTGTGACCAAGACTTTCAGGAAAAGAGCATGACAGGTAGCACCTCTTCCTAGCTCCCTCAATCCCATATCCATATTCTCCCACTAAACCTTAAGAATTAATTGCTGGAGGCATATGTTCACTCCACAAAAGTTGTAGACATCCTGAGAAGGCCCTTACATACAACCTAAAAAAAAGACCTGGTTTTTCCTAATCCTTTGCTGAACATCAGGTTAAGCCTTACACCTAAAAAACCCACTGCTCCACTTTACTCTCTTACACCTACACTTATTGCAGGAAAATGCAACAGATGAGCAACATAACTGCAGCAGTTTCCCAGAATCTTTTGTAGAGAAAATGAACAGCTTTCCTAATGCCATTTATTCTTAGATGTAAGGTATGCCGTGAATTTAACATTACTTTTCTTCTTCAGTTTTTAGATCCTTGAGCCAATAAAATACCCTTGACTTATTATCTTAAAGGAAAAAAAAAGTTAAGTTTAAATAAATCCAGAGTAACACATGCTCTCCTAAAATCATGCGGAAGACAAGAACAAGGGAAAAAATGGGAAGGGGGAGAACAAGCATTAGATTTCACCTTAATTCAGGAAACGGCAAACAGAAAAAAAAATAAAGGTGTGGAAAATATACCACAGCATCTTCAAAAGGAAAATGAGATAATTAACTTAAAAAAAATAGTGATAGGAAGAAAGGCAATAAGGTAACAGGCAATAAGGACTCAGAAAACCCAAACCTCTTGACTTCAAATAAGTGAAGAGCACAGGGTTACAGAGTACAAACATTTGGGACAATGGAAGTAGTTGGCCAACTAAAACAATTTTATACAATTCTACTGATTTATCCCAGTAAGCACTACTGTTCAGAAGAGCAAAGGAATACAGGTTTAGCATATCCTCACTAGCAATACCTCAGTTTAACAGGGCTGATTTTCAAGCTGAAGTCAATGTGACTTACCAGTATGCTTCTGGGCTTTCCTGCGTGCAGATGGAGCTAAGTAAGTGTTTCAGGGCCTTGATAAATCAGCTTGCTAGTGTAGGAAGGTAGTCAAAATGCCTGCAGTGAATGTGTCATAATGAAGCATATGTTGTTGGTTTGTTGGGGTTTTTTTATTTTTAAATCTTTTTCTTCTCAACTTTGTTTGC